CTGACCGGAGGCGACCGGAGGCGGCCTGCCTCCGGCCCCTGACTTCTCTCGAGCAAGCCTGGTGGTGTAGTAGCTCGCCCTTCTTGGTTACAAGACACACTCTCTCTCTGTCTCTCTCTCTCTGTCTCTCGGGGCGAGGGAGGACTAGGACGTCCTATACATTGGGAGGCGAGCCGTCAGGTTGAGCTGATCGGAAGGGCGGCGAAGGGTCTCCTTACATTTGCCCTCGCTAATGTAGGGTCAGGTCTGGACTTTTTCAGAGACTATAAGTTGTATCTTCTGGAGAAGTCATCAGATGGGGCCGTGACATGAGAGGCCCTGGTTGATTTGTGGCCCCTTGATTTGAGCTCGAGGGTTACATTTGACCTGGCTAATGTGAGGTCAGGTCTGGACTTCTGCGATGTAGGTTATTGTATATTGGGAGAGAGTCGGCTGGTGTCTTCTTACATGTTTGTTGGGCCGTGTCACATGGGAGGGGAGCCTGGCTGATTTATAACCCTTGGTCAGCCGTGAGAGTTACCCTACACTTGACCTCCCTAATGCCAGGTCAAGTCTGGACTGCTTCAGAGATGTAAGCTGTGGTCTGACAACCCATCACTACAGTTATATTTAAATGTAATCTAGGTCTTATACAATGGGGCAGAGGTGATATGTAGGCCAGTGGTGTCCTTGAGTAACACTGATAAGAGTTACACCCAATATTCACCAACTCACTTGTTAAATTCCTGTTCCTACCAACCCAGTAGAACCACCGTAGTCACGTGAGACACCACATGAAGTCATTAACAAGTGTGGTAAGCGCCAACCATCAGTGGAGCGAGGAGGGGTGGGGGACGTGTGGCTGGGAGCCACAGAGTAGGGGCCCAAGAGTAGGCTTCACGGGCACCAGGGCACTGTGCGTGCCAGAAGCTGTCACAATGGTTACTACACTACGTACACCCACAAATACCACTTTACACATGGTCATAGCTCACTGACACTGATGTGAAGTCACTAAGTATAACACTTTCACAATGCGCGAAATACTGTATAAGTTAGTTTGGTTATCCTTAGTGTGTGGTGTGTGGCATACAGGTGGTGAACGGTGGCTGGGAGGGGCAACCCTCTAATGATGCGAGGTAAATTGACCTCTATAGTCCCATACGTAAGGGAGGTAGGGAGTTAGGAGTTAGATAGGCAGGCAGGCGCCAGCAGGCAGAATGCTGGCCTGGCACCTCAGTGTCACAGAAGAAACATGTTGACTCTCCACCACCGTTCAATGCTTCTGTTGGTTGGTTGGCTGCCTTTAAAAAGCGTTGAAGCAAAGTTTGTCCACTACGATGGGGAGAGACCGTCTGCTGATGTCATAGCAGCAGAAAAATATCCACCTGTCTTTCAAGCTCTTGTGAAAGAGGGTGGTTATTGCCGAGACCAGATCTTCAATTGTGATGAAACTGGCATTTTCTGGAAGCGCTCACCTAAGATCACTTTCATTGCCAAGGATGAAAACAGGCAAGGGGTGTAAAGACCTCAAAAGACAGGATTACAAGTGGAGATTTCTTGATGAAACCCCTGGTTGTTAACCGTGTTGCTCGTCCTAGAGCCTACCGTCATGCCAGTATGTCGCAGCTCAATGTTTATGGGACGTCTAATAAGAAAGCTTGGTAACATCTTTATATACCGATTGGTTTAACAAGCACTTTGTTCCTGACGCCCAACAGTACTGCCAGAGGAAGAACATTGACTTCAAAATGATCCTGGTGATGGATAATGCTCCCAGACCCTCTTAAGTTTCTAATTGGACGCCACCCTAATGTACAAGTTATCTTCTTCCTAACACCACAACGCTTCTGCAGCCTCTTGACCATGAATTCAACAGTAACGTTAAACTGTTCTACTAACAGTCACTCTATAAAGACTTTCGTCAGCAGAGACTCATTAGTCGAGTCACGTACAACAAATCAAGGCAGAACTCTCTGACAGTGACCAGGCTCTACCAGCTAACCAGGAGGAGGAGATGGTAGACGACCTGACTCCTAGCACTTCACCACCCCGCAACCATGAAGTGTTATCAGTTTGAGAATTTTGGAAGAAATATAATATTAAAAATGCAGTGGACAGAATTGTTGAGGCATGGCATAAGATTAATGTTAAAACAGTGCTACACGCATGGAAGCCTTTGTTCGCTAACTCCGAGGAAAGTGGTGAGAGACAATCCGTCGCAGCAGCGCAGTCAGTCCCAGCACTGGGATTTTCGGTTGTTCGGGTTGAAGATATGCAAGAAATCATTGGTCAACATCAGCAGCAACCAACAATTGAAGAAATGCTGTAGGAGGATGAAGAATAAGAAGAACAGCAACCATCATCAAGAGGATGATGTTAAGCCTGGTGAACCTACAACACGCCAGCTGACTGAGTTGCTCACAAACATCGCATGTATCGATAAACAGCTACAATAATACGATACCAGGTCTCTTCCTCGGAACCTTTTCTGCCCCGTCCTCAATAAGGTTATGGAAGAATATAAGGCCTTGTACATGTCCCGTGTTAATGCTCGTCAGCAGGCCTTTATTACTCGGTACCTGTGTAAGGCCCAGCCTGTTAACGCCTTGGCAAACATCACTTTAGGAAGTGATGATGGCACCACTGGTGATGATATAAAAGTGTTGGGTGACTTGCTGGTGGAAGAGCTGCCTCAAGACTTTGAGGGATTTGATGCCGATGTTAAAGGAGGTGACGATGAGGGAGCAGGGAGGAAGCAGTAACCAGCCCTCCCCATCAAGGTAAGTTATTCCACAGTATGAGTGTCTATAAATATTGTCATCAACAATATGTATAATATAAATATGTATGAATACATTACTGTAATGTTATTTTCTTGGTGGGTTGTAGGTCATTATAGGGGGTTCAGATGATACCGCAGAATCAAATAGGCTTATTTACATGTATTTCAACTTCACTCGTTTTGCAATTTAAAATTTCACGAAACTAAAACAAGTACCAATTACAGTTGTTGCAAAACTTGAGATCCTACTGATTTTTTGTTATTTTTATTTATTCCTCGCATTTACATGCACTGTATTTTTTATTTAAAAAACTATGGCTACAGGAGGAAAATACACAAAAAAAATTTCCTAAATGCTACCTGCTAAAATGGGGGAGGGGCATCTTATATGCTGTAAAATACAGTAATTGCAGACAAACTTATGCACATATAAATCGATTGCAACCTGTCCCTTGGGTGTTGGGATAATCAACAGTGAATCTTTATGAAGCAATTCCTTTTTTCCAATAGATTTCTTATGGTAACTATGTTTACAACTTCCACCTCTCCTAGATTTCCTCTAACTTTTAAACTTGCATAACCTTATCTTATGTATTACCATTTGCTTTGCCTCCTGGCACTGGCACTAAGAAGACTGTCTCACTATGTCCTCTCCTACATAAAATGTAGAGAGCCAATCAGGAATACTACTACCAAGGCTGTGCAGAATAGTAGTGCCCGACAGCCCAGACATGCCCAGAATAGGGCCTGATTGAGTGATTTTTCATGTTGGTGTGCCCGGCACTTGCCCAGCGGACAAATTAATATTTTGAGAAGAAAATACCCACATGGGAATTTGTCAGGTGGTGCATGACCCCACATGTTTAATCAGTGAGATCCATCAACCAGCAAGGTGACGGGAGGAGGAGGACTGTGTGTGTGTTTGTGCTTGACCTGATTCCATATCATAGCATCACAGCTGAGGTGATACCTGACTTTTCTGTACCCACAATGACCTGACTTGAAACTCTGTATAAAAACTTCCACTGATTGATGTATAAGCAGAGTTGTGCTACAACTTAAAGAAAACTTCAAAATGAATAAGCAGCAATGAAAATTGACCGTTCTTCAAATACCACTGGAAGGTGGAGAAGGGTGAGGTTAAAAAGGTTTTACATAAACACAAGTTACAGCTAGACCCCGACTTACGACTGCTTCGACTTACAACTGTCGGGACTTACGACCGCCGCAGTTGTGACCATTTTTTTTTTTTTCCCAAATAACACACGCATTTTCTATACCGAAACGTTTTCAGTTAATGTAGTTTCCATGTATAATTAGAAAATTATGGGGGCCCCATGTGCATTCAGCTGACTACATTAAAGGTAAGTGCTCAGTCACACTGTATCCATTCCTCATTATTTATTACTTTTACTGTACTGTATTTCATTGCAGATTTTTTATTTAAAAAAAAATTGATTTTTTTTCTTTTTCTTTTTATCCATGTCGGACTTACGACCATTCGGACTTACGACCTGGATTTGGGTCCCAAACCCCGTCGTAAGTCGGGGTCTAGCTGTATATGACAATTGATACACACGACAAATTTGAATGTTTTAAAATGTTTATTAAACTTTTCCCATTCAATAACCGGGAAGTCAAATTTCCTTCGAGAAAATAAGAAATTTTTAGTCACTTCCCTAGGACAAGTGAATGTTCCATATAATGTGCTCAGCCTGCTACTACCTGTATTGTACTTTTAGTTACCTTCACCTGTATAGAACAATGATACATAAAAGCCTCATGACTTCTCCCTCTTATGCCACTACCAAAGTGGTACACTGCAGAACCTTATTAAGCACTGTGCCCGTGTTGCAGTCTGGGCTCTGTGCCCAGAATACAGTCTCATATTCATCACCTGTGAGATACTTATATTATCCTTAATCTGTGTCCCTCATATGGACTCACACATCTCCTTATATGAATTCTTATTTACTGTACTGTACCTAGCAATGTCATTTATATTTACACGAGATGCATCAAACTTCACAAAATCATTAAGTCTTCATATTCATTTTCTTTGTAAACTATGTACTGCAGTCATCCATCAAAAAGAATTGTCTCAATTCATTAAAAAAAAAAAGAAGAAAGCTCAAGCTTCTTATTTCAAGTTTTCACTATTTCCTCACAAAAATATCGTCAGTCCAAAAGAAGATCTTGCCATCCCCAGACAGTAGGTCACAATGAAAGACAGACACACATTTATGAGTACATTTGTTTCTCTACAACTACACCAGCAGCAGCAGCAACAGCAGCATCTGAGGCAGATGGTCACAAACTTATTATCAGCTGGAGTCAGGCAATGCTAACCCATGCTTGTATATTGGGATAGCTCAAGATCAAATTGCCATTAAAACTTGCAACCATGACGTCATCAAACGGGTGCACAACATCGGCCGGTCGGAACTCAACATTACTGCAAAATTCATGCTGACCAGGCAAGAACCATGCAACTTTGTCTTTTGTATAGGATTGGGCTCTGCTAGACTGCAGTGATGGGAAAGAATTCTATGATTAGCAAGTCAAGTATGTGTTTCTCTCCACACATTTCAATCAACAGACACACTAATGGTGCATCTGGAACAGCCAATCATTATCTAATAGTTAAAATATTCATTAAACGAGAAAAAAGCAGATAATTTTTGTGTCCTGTCAACATAAAAAAATAAATAAACACAAAGAGAATGTTAAAAAAATAAGATAGAAAGTTAACCATTAGCCAGTGGCGGCCAAAATTTCCACTCCATTCCAACAGGATGAATTAGTTTAGTAATGCCTTCCTCCATGCTAAGCAAGATGTTTGCTCTGGTATAAGCTCAACTAGGTGCAATAACTCCCAAGAATTGAAATAGAGAACTAATTATTAATCTATTAGTAGTTAGAAAGCTGGAAGTCCATGCAACAACTCAAGGGTTAAATGAACCGTTTGGCTAACAAAGCACTTGATGCTGTTAGCATGTTGTTGAGGTGTAGGTAACCACCATTTGCCTTAATGCCGACAACCTGATACTGAGGTTTAATGCAAACTCAACTTATATGGGTTATGGTGCTGACTGGGCAAACAAGACTGTAGCTCCAGAACATTCCATGTGATTTAGCATTAACTTCCAGTAACCTGTGGATTCAACCTCTTCTACCTAAATATTCAACATCACCTTAATTCAATAACAGATGACAGAGATTCTTTATATTTCAGCAGTAAAATTGTATCTTTTGACATGAAAACAAAACTCTAAATATACAAAAGAAAAAATAGAATAATAAGGAATGTCATTCACTATAAATGGTCTCTATTTCTATCAGAAAGGTAAATATATAATAAACCCATGAACTTCAAGTAAAACCTACTTAATAATAGACATCAAAATACCATATACTGTACAAGCAACTGATGAACAAATTCTTACATCATCATCTGCTAACTAATTCTACAATTAATAACAACCTATGAATACAAGAAATGCCTTCTTACCCACCAGTAATTAGACTAAAATACCAAAGATAGTCCATGAGTTACCCTTCACTTGTGTAAGTGTGAGGTGGTCTGTCTGTACAGGCTGTCATAATGCTGGTATCCCTGGTATCCATATTGAGGAATGTCACTAAATTTTCTCACATTCACTAAATTCCAATAATAACAATCGACAACTAACAGTGTATATGTATATGTATATGTATATATATATATATATATATATATATATATATATATATATATATATATATATATATATATATATATATATATATATATATATATATATATATATATATATATATATATATATATATTACTCTTCTAATGTCTGTCTTAAATGTTTCAGACACTGAATATTCCTACAAGAACCGCTCTTCTCCAAACTTCATATACTTCTTGTTCACAGTACATTAATGTATTTATTCAAGAAAATAAGGCCAATCTGTGGAATTTCTCTTAATTCATATTTTCACCTATCAGACAATGAAGGCAATACTATTATAGCATGATAAAAAAAAAGGCTATTGGAAATGAGTTGCAGGGCATTAGCATCTGGTCTCGTAGAGTCCCGAACGGCCGATGTAACGAACCCATTTGATTACGTCATGGTCAGAGTAGTTTAGCTTCGACTCGAACACTTTCAGGTAGCGAACCTTGAAGCCCGATGGAGCAAACGGCACCTTTGGTAGAGGAAAAAGAAAGAAAATAAATCATTAATGTTACATGATGGGAGTATTTTACAAGAGCCATGAACAGCTTTTCAACAAGTTCATTTTAGGTATGTGTTTGCAGTAAATACAAGACATATAGCACAAACATTATCTTACATACCTGTTATAGTACAATTATCTGAAGTTTATTTATATGTTAGTCCTGTAATTATCCTGACCATTATTATACTACATGCTAATGTCAATTATCTACACACAACATAAAAGGTACAGTATTTCACATAACAGTTACTGGTGAAAAAATTTGCTTTTTGTAAACAATATGCAAATGCTACTTAATATATATTAATCAGAACCAATTTGAAAAGTATTTCACTTCTTTGCATAGGTTCAAGGGTTATTAAATATAAACTCCTAAAATTATGATCAAAGGTAAATGATGGATCAACACTGAGTTTGAACAAAAGTAAATTGATATTGACTAGTGTGAAGACTGTTTGTACAAAGGTATTAAGAAGGCAGCCAAGGAGTAGCAGTGTGGCTCATCACACACCAGCACAAACAACAGTAGTAAGTGACAATAAACCCATATAAAGCAGTAATATCTCCGTTAGCCGGAATCCCTCAAACCAGGAATTCTCCAACAGCCGGAATTAAAATTTTCTTGGGAAATTGCTTCGAAAGCTGGAATTTTTAGGAAAACTCTGACTTTGGGAAAGATTTTCCGAGGGGCACATTTTCCAGAAAATTCTGAGAAATTTTCCCGATACCCGGAAAATTCCGGGGATGAAGGATTTTTTCTGGCTTTGAGAGAGTTGTCTCGTTATCCAGAAATCTCTCATTCCCGGAAGTGCTCTGCACCAATTGTTCTGGCTAACAGAGATATCACTGTACCTGTACTAAACTAAGAGCTGGAATAAATCATAACCAACTCTACTTAGATACAAACATTTCCCTACCTTAATCAGGTTCATTCATGGGAAGATTTATCCTCATAGTTGAATCTGCTGCCTTTCATTCCTCACACTAGCATATTGCAATAAGGAATTCAAAAATTTTCTACTTTTCATAGCTGTAATAAATGTGACCAAAGGAAACATTGTATGCCTGTCTTGCATGTCCATAATGCCTACAAGGTTAGGCTTAACAGAAGAAAAATTCAGTTGCAAATACTGTACTGTACGGTATTGAGGTCAAATGCTTTTTAAACCAGAAAAGTTCACATTTCACAGGTAATATTTTTAGGAGCTTTACTAACAAATATCAACAATGATACTCATTGATACAGGTTGACAATCCCTTATCCGAAACCCTTGGGGCCAGAGGCATTTCGGAATTTTTCGGTTTTCAGAATGGTTATACTGTATTTTTTTATTTTTTTTTATTAGCCCACTCGGGCATAGATCACTGACCCACATCAGGGCCTGGGGGGCGAAAATATAATAAAAAAATATAATAATAATAATAATAATAATAATAATAATAATAATAATAATAATAATAATAACAATAATAATAATAATAATAATTCATAGGTCTAGGTCGCATTTCTCACTTTTGATCTTTTTTTCATTCTTGTATTTCTTTATTATTATTATTATTATTATTATTATTATTATTATTATTATTATTATTATTATTATTATCATTATTTTATTACAGTATTATTATTATTATTATTATTATTATTATTTTATTTTGGTGTACAGTATTTTAATTGAAAATCTTATTTACTATGAATAATTATTATGACATTTTCGCCCACCAGGCCCCGATGTGAGTTAGTGATCTATGCCCGGGTGGGCTAATCCCTGTTTAAAAAAAAAAAAGTTTTCAGAGCTTTTCGGTTTTTGGATAAAGGGTTGTCAACCTGTAATACTACTTGTGTAATGTTTGTTTTTCTGATCTTTCACAGAGTGTATGGACATTTATTGTGATCAAGGATATTAAATACATTTCAAAATGACAAGTGTCTATTCCTCTGATTCATAAACATTGATGGTGAAGTGAGAAGGATAAGAATCTATGCTATGAAGGATACACTAAGTCCTTTACACACAAGAGAATTTTATAATGCAGCAGCCCTGCATGCCTATATGAGACCCCAGAGTTGTCCGAAACAGAGGCCATCCAGGTGCTTGAGATGCACCAGGCAAATGTGCACCCACCAGCGACCGCCACAGTGCCCTCGCATGGTCACGACCACGACAGAAGGACCCAAATCTCAGAAAACCACACGACCAAGCTCACTGCTGGCCTAACTGAGGAGGACTGGGTCTATTTCATGGACTGATGGGCCACCTACAAGACCGCCCCTGGCCTGAATAGGGACATTGTCGCGGTGCAGCTTCTGGAGTGCTGTGAGGAAGCTCTTCGCGGAGATCTCCATAGAAACCTGGGGGCAAGCACTCCACCAAGAATAAGACCCACCTCCTTCATGAAATCAGAAGACTGACAGTGAGAGAAATTAACAGGATAGTGAACGGGTGCAACTAAGCACTGGTACAGGATGAGGGCGAGCGTGTGACACTTTGCTGCCAGAGTCAAAGGGCAAACATCTGTCTGTAGCTATAGTGTCAAGTGCAACAAGAAATGGGTGTGACACAAACGTTAGCTATGTAGACGAGGTCATCCGAGATCAGGTCATGGAAGGCCTGCTCAATGTAGATATCCAGAAGGACCTACTCAGTCATCCAGACAACGAAATCATAGACCTCAATGCTATTTTGACTTTTGTTGAAGCCAAGGAGTCAGGCGTGAGATCACAGGGTCTCCTGCCTGACCACACGGCAGGACTTCACGCCAAGATATCAGAATTCCAACGGCAGAAGCAATTCAGGGTGGCAGACATTAGCCCAACATTGAAATGCATTTACTACGGAAAGACAGGACATGGGGCTAAGGCAGGGGTGTCAAACTCATGGCCCGCGGGCCAAATGTGGCCCTTGGGATAGTCAGGTGTGGCCCGCGGGATGACGGTAAAATTTATTAGCCCGTGAAATTATGATAGAAGTAGATATGAAGGAAAAAATGCAGATATGAAAAAGTCAGTAAATTCCAAAATGATCTTTACATCATTGTGGCAATAATTGAATTTATATTGTGAATGCTAGTAATAACACTACTGTAAAGGGAAAATGCTTATAAATAAAAATCACTAAAGAAATAAAAAATGAAGCCTCAGCCATTACTGGTATCTGAACAAAGGCAGCAGCCAAACGTTGCAACATTAGGCTAAACAGACGAGAACTAATGTATGCTGTTGGACCCTTTTCACTTCTTTGGAGAAATCGTGAGTTATACTTCGCTTTTTAATCACTCGGTTATCTATAGCTATGACTAACTATATGTAAATTTGATGTGCAGTCAATCCTTTGAAATGAAAAGAATATACAAGATTTGTAGGGAAACTTTGTTCACTTGACAGTCGCATCAAACCCGCAAACCACCGCCCTGCACTAGGCTTCACCAGTGTATGGGTTCAGTCCAGGTTCATATTTTGTCTTTTTCCTTCCTTTCTTTTTTTTTTGCTCATTATAAAACGTCTACAGTAGAAGTAAAAAAATCCGGATGCCAGAAATCCGTACCACCCGAGAACCCGGACTTTTCAAAAACTCAAATTTTTTAAATTTAGCGGGCTTTTGTGTGCGTGCCCGCACATGCGTTAGCGCCACAGCTGTACAGCGACAACAAGCGACCACGCGGTTGCCATTTTAAAACGAGCAATCAAACTGTGACAACGTATGTAATTTTGTGTCCTACTCTTTCCATTTACCATATATAGCATACGTATTTACAAGCCCATAATAATGGCTCCTTAAGTAGATAAACTTTGTAGTGTGAAGAGAAAGAAGAACACGCTGAAATTGAGTGACAAATTTGAAATAATTAAGAAACTAGAACGTGGTGTGAGCAATACTGTTCTAATGGAAACATACGACATCGGAAAGTCTACAATTTACGATATAAAAAAGGCAAAGAATAAAATTCTAGAATTCACAGCCTCGTCTGAGCCTTACAATAAAATTTCTGAAATTTTCTAATGAATAAACTATCAAAATTTACCTGTTCATCTTTTTTTTATTCCTCCTTAAAATTTAATTTTAAAAGTACTGCCTGAGAATCAGGAAAATCCGAAAATCCAGACCGACCCAATCCCCGAGCAGTCCGGATTTTCTGACTTCTACTGTATCTACCTATCTATCAGTTTCTTTATTAATCTCAGACAAATCCAAATGATGTATTCCTGGTAAGCCAGGTAAGGCAATGTGTGAACCTGTAAACTTCAATCCTGCAAATATGTGATACTGTATAGCACTTGTGTTGTGTTGGCCCTGAAGAGGGTAATTAAAATAAGAATTGGCCCTCGAAAGGTTTTGAGTTTGACACCGCTGGGCTAGGGCCTAGGCCGACATCAGGAAGGAAAAGTGACAGGCCTGGGGCAAGAGATGCTTGTTGTGTGGCAAGTCTGGCTGGTTTGTCAATCAGGCCAGCTCAAGCCAGATGGGACAGTAGTGAACAACCCTGGCAATGCTGGTATGACGACATGGGACACCAGAATGAATTCTGACTTCATGTCCATGGTATCAATTGGCACCACGAAGCAGTCCAGCTGTAGGCTCCTCATAGTCGATCACCGACTGTGGCACGAAACCATGGGCTGGGTGTGTTGGCAGGCACCGCAATAGCCATATGTGTCGTTGTATGTGGCGGCTTACCAAGAGTTGGGACTACGTCTCAGGAGTAGCCGCCTGAAACTAGCCAGTGATGTTAGATCCTGCCCAGACACAGGAGCCCAGACCAACATTGCTGGCCCGTTCTTCCTGTCACTCTTGGGGTTACAGCCGAGCGATCTGCTGCCGGTTAGCCAGACTATCTGCATGACGGAGAACAACCGGATGACTGATGGGTGGCGTCTTCATTATCTTCATCAACAGTACAGGGCATGCCAAGGGTAGCCACGTTAGATCCACCAAGCAGTTGTGCTACACTGCCAAGGACAGCTCAGA